CGGTCCCGGGATTTTTCCTCCGCGTTTCCACGCGCTAACGCGTCCTTCGTTCAAGCAACCGCGATTTCTTGTCGACCGAGTTCCCTCGGAATTTTATCTTTGCGGGCGTTCGACATTTCTGAGCTGCGGTTAACGTTAGAAGGACTAGGAGAGAATGCGTCGTCGGTCGGTCCGGATAGCTTAATTGGTCAAAGAAGTCGTCCGGCAAGACTCCATTTCCGAATCGGTCGACTCCATTTTCTCCTATATCTCATTAATTGTCATGTTTCGTTGGATCGAGGAGCGCCACAAAAACTAACAAAATCTTGGAGACGCGAGTCGCTTTCCATCGATTTCCTAAATAATCTTCGCAGGGAACTGTGTCTTCTTCAATAACGAATATTCCCGAATTATTTAGTCGTTCCGTGTGAATAATAAAGCGATTGTATTTCCTGAATAATTACGGAGTGTCGAGTTAACAAGAATGTATATCTCCATCGTATTTTGCTGTACGATTAAATTCGCAACGGAGCGACTAATTTTTCGAAAACTACGAAGCGTCGAGTTAACGAGATTGAACATTTATGGTTTAATTATACGGTAAGATGAGTCGCATTCAGTCTTGTGAACTCGACGCTGCGTAATTATCAAGAAATTGGTCATTTTATTACTCACAGAGAACGAATAAGTAAACGGTCGCACAACAGGTAATTATGTATTACGCGTGAAACTAAAATCGAAATTAAAGCCTTGCGTACTCGTGGATCAGACATGGAAACAATTACTGTAAAAGAAACTCTTCTCGAAGATCACCTAGTTCGGACCTCTGGGAAATACAGGGTGTCCCAAAAATGTCTCGCAATCCGGAAATGGTGGATTCCTTAGGTTATTTGAAGTAACGTTTTCCTTAGCGAAAATGCAAACCGCGGTTTCGTTTACGAGTTATTAATGAAAAACGCCAACCAATAAGAAGCGAGCTCTGCTGACGCGAGGCGCTCGAGCGGAGCTGGGCTTCGCGTCTCGCGCCAGCTGAACTGGGATTCGACTGCTCGACCGCTGGCGCCGTCGGCTCGGCCGCCTCGCGCCAGGTGAGCTGGGATTCGACCGCTCGACCGCTGGCACTGTTGTCTCGGCCGCCTAGCGCCAGGCAAGTCCGCCTCTCATTGGTCACCGTTTTTCGTTAATAACTCGTAAACGAAGCCGCGGATCGCATTTTCGCTAAGGAAAAAGTTACTTCGAATCACCTCAGGAAACCTCTCATTTCCCAGAAACAGCATAATTTTGGGACTCCTTGTATACTCTTCGTGGAGAAGCGACTGTTTTTGCCTTGTAACAATTATAAACGTCTTTCGATTTCATTTAAATATATGATCCGTACTCGTAAATGTCAGACAGATTAAAATTACTTTTGGAAGAACTTCTTGAGGGAAACTCTACATAGATCAACTGATACAATAAGCGCGGTTCTAATGAGAATTCGTATACTAATGAGATTTTTGTCTTCGCCGAAGTACGATGAAACTTTCAAAATTAGATCGTCGAAATTGGTGGTTGTCTTTGTGCAAACTGAACACGATCTTCGACCTAATGATAAGCCTGTATGCAGGTGTTGTCGCATTAAATCTACCGGGTTCTAGAAGTATAGTTACTTTATTATAGTCGACGTTAGTAGACGCGTTGCTTTATAACAGGAGTGGCCAAACTTTTGATTATTACGGGCGACCCGTTTTTTTAAATTATCGACGGCGGTCTATCAACATTGTATCTGTCAAGTGATCGAAGGAAAAGTCGCCCGCGGTCGAGCGGTCGAATCCCAGTTCCGCTGATTCACGCCAGCAGATCTCGCCTCTCATTGGTCACTGATTTTCGTCGATAACTCGTAAACGAAGCAGCGGCTTGTATTTTCGCTAAGGAGAAAGTTGCTTCAAATGATCTCAGGAACCCTCCATTTCCAGATTACAAGACATTTTTTAGACACCCTGTATATGCCCGCGTCAACAATTATCCTTTCCCGATAAACGAGACGACATGAATTGTCTGGGAACGCGTTCTCCAATATCCGCTAAAAACTCCGGTAAAAGAGCACAAGCATCGCCGGAGAGATCGCGTTCTCCTTCACGTTTATCCATCAAACATACGCACGGGAATGAAACTTTGCTCTCTGCTCTCTGTTTCGCGCATTGATTCGGCGAGCCGCTCTATCTGGTTTCGAACACGGCTGCGCGAAGGTGGGCGAGCAAACTTTTAGGAAAATATTTGGTAAATTCGAGAGGTCGGGAGCGCGGGATGCGGGGGGCTCGGACTCATCGAGCGGGATCGGTTCTCGGGGCCAGATTAAGGGGGTCCTTTCAAAAGAGATTACATCAACAATCCCGAGACACGCCGGCCGGGATTAGGACCGTTTTTCAATGACAAAGAACCGCGATCGCGCCGACGCCCGTCCGAGTAATAACGCGACGAAGCTTCTGTTTTATTCGACGGTCGCGTAAAACGGACCGCGCGCGTTGGTTCGGCGAAGGTGGCGGTGATGGTGGTGGTGGTGGTGGTGGTGGTGGTCCCGTCATGCGAACGAGTAATTACTGCATTACTAATAATACGTCGGCGAGAATGGATTTACGTGTCCCGCTGCATTAGGGAAATTACCGGAAACGCTGTCGCGTTTATTGTTTGACGCGCTGCATCGATCGCGGTCGCGGACGCGAGATCGGGACAAAGGAACGCGAGGACGTCCGGCGATGTTCGCGAGATTGTTTTAACATCCAGCCATCCGCAGCCCTGCCGATCCGATCGATCGAGGACAGCCGGATCTGTTGGACGCGTTCTTTGGCGTTCGCTCAATAATTGGACGGTGGCCTCTTAACGCGAAAATGCGTCCCTATGGAAAGATTCGAAGAAACGTGTATTATGTTCGCTATTGTTCTCGGAGAACGCGCGGTAGATCGAGGCAAAACGCCGAGCACGATCGAACGGAATCGTTTGCAATCAAATATCGTTCCTTTCGAATATCGTTTCTCGGAAATGTTGCACGCTACGAATGTTTAGATGCGCGCTCCGTTAACTCTTTGGGGCACGGTGGGATTAAAAATTTCCCATCTTTGAATGGTGGGACGTTTCTAGACTCGCCTCGAAATATTGCAATAGCAATGACGAAACGGATTTAATTGAATTATTATTATTATTATATATATTATTATATATATTTATATTATATATATTATATTATATTATTATTATTATTATTATTATATTGTGCGATCGCTTCGTTAATAAATATACACCAATTTTGTTTCATTTAAAGCGCAATGAAATTTCTGTGCAACGTGCGTCTATTTTATTCTCTGAAATCCTGTGCGCCAAAGGGTTAAACCGACGCATCTTTCCCTTTTCTCAAATCCTTTTCAACGAGCATCGAGCAGGAATCGCGATTTACAGGATGCTCGGCGAACGAAATTTCCGGCGATTCTATTAGTCCGTCCAGAAATTAATTAACGACGCTCTCGGACGTCTGGTCACGGGATCGATACAGGCCGGGATTGAAGTATTCGTTACTGTTATTAATATCCGTGATCCTTCGTATATCATAACTGGAACGGGAACGGTCCCCGGTGCTCCTCTAATGAGGACGAAGCCGTGCGAATTTTATAAAATGTTACGCGACGCACGGAACAGTGAATATCGGCTGCCGCGTCGACGTCTCGTTCGATTTTTGCTAATTGGAAAAATTGACCGATGGCCAGCGAGCTGAAACGCGGCGCTCATAAAGGGAACGAAGTGTTAATTGACGTGTATCGTTATCGTTGCGGATCTTAACGGGGATTTGCATTTTTCCGCACTCGTTTACAGCCGGATCCCAGACAATATCTTACACGGAGATTGTGTAACGAGTTCGATTAACACGTACAGTGCCGCCCCTCGCTCTCACGTGGGCGACGCTAATTTTTAACCGCGTCGTCGTGAAATTCCTTTTTCTCGTAACATATCGAACGCTCTAAGCGTTATTAGAATTTGTAGAATGCGACAGAGTCAAACTAATAGTTAACTATGCTGGATTCTAACCTTCCATAGTCTCGGTATCATTCGTTAAATAACTTTAATAAATATTCTGGTTATTTTTGCTGTCGATATACAGCAAATCCGCGGACTCGTCCGCGGATTTTTCCGTGGACTCTTCCATCCGATTTGAGATCATTTTCCGCTGTGCGATCGCGAAAAATTTGCAACTAATCGGACGAAGCCAAGTCTAAGTAAATTATTAAGGAGTTCGATCGAAGGTTCGACGACGAACGATTTTTCTACAAACGAAAGTGGAGCCAGGTCTGTGCCGATCGTATGCATAGAGGATGTCTCAAAAATGTCTCGTAATCCGGAAATGGAGGGTTTCTGAGATCATTTGAAGCAACTTTCTCCTTAGCGAAAATGCAAACCGCGGCTTCGTTTACGAATTATCGGCGAAAATCAGTGACCAATGAGAGGCGAGATCTGCTGGCGCGAGGCGGCCGAGCCAAACGGCGCCAGCGGTCGAACGGTCGAATCCCAACTCCGCTGGCGCGAGGCGGCCGAGCCGACGGCGCCAGCGGTCGGGCGGTCGAATTCGAACTCAGCTGGCGCGAGACGCGAAGCCCAGCTCCGCTCATTGGCTCGGCCGCCTCGCGTCAGCAGAGCTCGTTTCTTACTGGTTGGCGTTTTTCATTAATAACTCGTAAATGAAGGAAATAGTTATTTCAAATAACTTAAGGAATCCACACACACCATTTCCGGATCGCGAGACATTTCTGGGACACCCTGTATACGCACGGTGCTTGCCTCATCAAAATGAAGATAATGCTATGAATTATCTGACTGATCGTCTTCGTATTACATGGGACGCGTTACACGAGACAACGCAGCATGTGCAAACACTTTTGCTCACCGTCACCGTGGAATCGTTTTCGAGGAAGCAGCGACACAATATCGCGCGCTCGATTAAAATCGACTTCTTTCAACGTCGCCCGGCAGCTGTAACACGCGAAACATCGACTCACCTTTGTTATGCCGATTGAGGCTTATGTCCTGGCCGTCCTCCCGCCTCCACGTTAATTTCGGCGTCGGGTATCCGTCCGCTTTGCACGTCAGCGTCATGTTCTGATGCTCCCGAACCGCCACCGCGCTCTCGGTAGACAGCGAGTCCAATATGTTCGGCGGCACTTTAAGCAGAACGAAACGAAACGTGTACCGTGTGCGCCGGCGGAATTGAAAACCGTTTCATAAACTGTCTACGGGGCACGACAAAAATTGACAGCGATAGGGCGCAAAGCGGCTCTCAAGATGAGGAACGCGTTTCGCCCGATGGAAGCGCGCGCGCCAAATATTTCGGCAAGAACCACTTCCACAAAGTTTCGCAGCTACACAAAAATGCACTTTCCAGTTTAATCGGTTCTCGCGTTTATTTTCACCGCTGCCGACTGGAACTGGACGGAAGTTTCGCCTTTGAATTTTGCGTCTGCCGACTGTGTCGCGAGGCAGAAATATTTTTCTAACAATTTGTTGATATTTAAACCGTGTCGCGATTTCGCAAAAACGTGTCTTACGGCAATATGTCTGGTCACACTTTGAAGTATGAAGCTTCTGCTAAAATATTGCTCTCGTGCTGTGTCGCTGATGAATTTTTGCGACAGAAGGAAAACGAACACTCACGGCGCATCTCAGTATCGACGACGGAAAGATTGAATTCTTTTATTTTCATTTCCGACTGAGTACGTTTATTTATTATTGTAACGTATATTATCTTTATAGCGTTAACCTTCTCGTTAGGAATGCAAGCACGCCGCCAGGAGGCGCTAAATTAATTCGGTGCTCTAGCACTAGAGGCGCCTGCAGCTGCTGAGTTCACAGTGCTCGAAATAGTTTGCGCCAGCGGACGTCCGCCAAATTTTACGGTTAAATTAATGCGTGAATTAATGTAACTTAGTGTGCGATAAAATGTAACATAACGTCTGAAAGGCGTTCGTCGACGAAAAATTGCGTCGTTCACGGTTAGCGTTGCGGTTTAATCACCGTGATATACAGGGTTCCCCGGAAAGAATCATCCGACTTCAAAAATTTATATTTTAAAAAATTACACACAGAAAATTATAATTCAAACACGAATATAACGGGAAAATGTGCGAGTTTTACTTTTTATTATTTTTTTCTCATGTATCAAACCGTTGGATTGGTCGCAGTTCATCCGATAATATGGTTCTACACAGTTGGCCTCTGAGATCACCCGACCTAACCTCATGCGACTTTTTCCTTTGGGAATTTGTGAAGGATCTTGTCCTTGTACCACCTTTACCTACAAGTGTAAATGAACTGAAAAAACGCATTTGCGATGCTGTACAAACAATTACCAGAGATACATTGCACCGTGTTCGGCAAGAACTTTCATATCGCAATGATATCATACGTGTAACGAAAGGAAGCCATATTGAACGCTTGTAAACAAAAACTCACACATTTTCCCGTTATATTCGTGTTTGAATTATAATTTTCTGTGTGTAATTTTTTAAAATAGAAATTTTTGAAATCGGATGATTCTTTCCGGGGAACCCTGTATATATTTTTACGCGGTACATACAAAAATCTGCCAAAGCGAAAGGGTTAACAAGTGTCCCGACGTCGTAATAACTATTCCTTCACGAACGGGTACGTCGTAAACGCGAGTCGATTTTTGTGGAAAATGTAAAACGACTTTTGTCGAACACGTAAACGGTTTTGTAGAAGTTACGGCACAAGACCCGACTGTACAGTGTTAAACAAGTTTCGTGGGTAGCGTCTCGCGCGGGAAGCGCTTCCTTTAAGATGGATTTTCGTTAAGGCACTTAGCGCCCTCTCGCTGTATAAAGTTTAATAATTGGCAGCGCGGTTGGTTGGGCTTAAGCCGTCGAAACAAGATTAAATATGCTTACCGACGACTTTCAGGAAGCCGACCTGACTCATCATGGGCACCGTGTTCACTTGGCACATGTAGTAACCCCGGTCGTCTTGCTGCACGCTGTTTATGTGGAGCAGCCAGGTCTTCTGGTTGTCGTGGGACACCTTGAACCGTGGGATCTTCACGACCACGTGCGTGTGAATGGTGAGCAACAACTGCCGGCCCACGTGCACCCACGCCACCTACGGGCAGACGAGAAATGTTGTTTACAGTTCGGAGGTCGTTTCGAAGGTTATGTGGAGATTATTCGATGCTTACTTCCGGCGTGGCGCTGAAACAGGTATGTCGCAATTACAATGTGTAATTAAATTATGATGTTTTCAATTATATTTATTCAGTTGTGTATTTACGATTCAGATAAATTAATTTAATTAAATTAACACGCGGCGTTTGTAATTATATTGAAATCATATTAAAATGCAATTAATACAACTCATTTCGCGAATGTTATCATATTCTGTATCATATATATCAGCATATTCTGTATTGCTCTTCCGCTCATTTCGCTCGTTCTGTATTATTTCTGGGGACTAGAGATACGACTATTTTTAGTACGCGTTAAAAATGTTTCTAGAAACATTGGACAATGTTTCTCGTGATTCGCAACAGCCCCTTGTTTAACGTACAGCAACTTAAGATTTTTCAACTCAATTGTTTTTAAAGTTGAAAGAAAGTTAAACAAAGTGTCCGAGGGAAAAAATATGTTTGATTCGCAAGGCGCAATTAGCGTGGAAGAAGAGGTTTTTCCTGAAGATTATTGCTACTAAATGAAACTGATTAAAAAAAAAGCTACGTTCGCTATCTTAAAACTACTATTAATAACAACTTAGAATAACTTTAAACAACTTCAGACGACTTCAAGAAAATCAACTACCACTTTCTGTCTCTCCCTGAAAACCTAAACGATTCCTAAAACTACCCTTAACACTTCCACGACCGCGCTAGAAACCTCAAAAATTTTCATAAAATTAAAATATTTCATTCGATTAAACAAAAATTACGAAGCAAACTTATATAGCATAAATTACTTCTTCAGCGTTCGTACCTCTTGCAAATCTTAATAAAATTAAGCAATCGTTTTTAATTTTTCATTGATCATCCATTCTATCATCAGTCGACTGAATTTAAAACGCGGAGAATTCGCGAGAATTTTCGCGATAGTGCACTGTCCCCCGAACACTTGCTGTCCTTGATCACTTCGGATAATCAAGGTTGAATCGCACCAAAACTGGAGGAACCCGAAACGCGAGTACAGAGGCAGATCAGCGCGCATATCTAATCATCGAACGTAACACTTCGAATTAGTCCCCTCGGCCCGTCTCCGAATTACAATAGCCTAATCGAATCGGCGGCGATAATCCCCGGATAGATAGAAACGAAATTCGATTGTCGGCTGTTAAAGCGAATTAAGAGGTCGGGCAGGGTGTGAGTACGAGGCGTGGCTTGTCGCGACGCCGCGCCGCGGCAGCTCGTACAAGGAGTCGGGTTTACGATCGTCTGCGACGAAGAATCCTTCGGATTCCTTTCGTCAATGGGCCGTGAGTCATTGGGAGGCTCCACAAGTGGCGGGTAGCTCACAATAGCGTGGAAACTGCGGGGGGGATCCGCGCGGAGAACGAGAAAGAAACGGATAGCGAGAGGGCGCGGGTGCTGGATGAGCGACACCCGGCACTGCGCGGCGCGGGCTGCATCAGAAATGCTATGAACAAACATTATTATGACCGTATTTTACGCTCCGCCGGGCTAACGTTCCCCTAACTAAGCTCATTCCACGACAAAGCTTATGCACTTTCGAGGATTTCTGGGTTAAACTGCCAGCCCCGTTTCACCCCCGACGAGCAGAGACCGGCTGAACCGTGTGCTTCTTCTTTTTCATTTCCTTGGCAACGCTCGAGAACGCTCGGTTGCGCGAAAGCGCCACTTTTCCTCATTTTTACTTTTCTACCGAAGTAACGCAATAACAACTCCCTCGCTCTCTCCCTCTCTCTCTCTCTCTCTCTCTCTCTCTCTCTCTCTCTTTCTCCTTCGCCTCTCTTTCTTTCCACGGGAACGCTGGTCCGGCGATGAATTATGACCGGCCTCGTCTCTCCGAGGCTCGATCCTCCCTCGCGCTTTCGGGTTCATCGAGCTCGAGGATTCCCGTCGAGAACCTCCTTTTAATGTCCTAGCCACCGCCGCGCACCGGCGTTCTTTAGAAGACAAAACTAACGAGTACACGGCCGGCCGAATTAACGCCGTAAGTTCCCGCTTGTTCGTACACGGAAACTGAAAAACAGAGGCCCCGGGGTACACCAACGGCCGCCACTGTAGCCCCTCGGCCGCGTTCCCGAAGTGCGTTAACCTCCGAACACACCTGCGGGGCGGCAGCTCCCGGGTCCGCGACTCCCGGAACTCCCGGACAAGAGCCGCGTTTTTTCGAAAATTTTTAGCGAGCTGCACTTTTCTTGTAACCTCGGTTAATCCAGCTGGTTTTTCCACCCTTTGCGCCCGAGTCGAACTCGTTTCGTTACTCTCCGAACGGATTGTGTGCTATCCTGTTCAAGCTGCAGCTCGCGAACGATTTCATCGAGGTTGGACCGAAGCCAGTTTACCTACCGGATCGTCGGTCTTTCTGCTAATTAATTTTATTCAAACTTTCGGGCAAATGTTTCTGCGAAATTGCTGTTTCTTACATCGAGTCGCTGAGGAAGTTCGTTTTAATCGATGGAGGTAGCAACTTCTCCGCGGCTTGTTTTTACCGAAGTTTCTGCCTCTGTTATCGCGGAAGCCATTGTAAATGTTAAACAACAATAATAATAAAAGAGGAAAAGGAAAAATATTCTTTTCTGCTTTTCGTATCTTTATACTACTTTATTTGTATCTCTGCTGAGGCCAATAGATTTTATCACCCGTATATAATATTTATTGTATTTAATACTATATATTTGTACTAATATAAATATTAGGCTATAATATATTATAATGTACTATAGTATAATAATTTATAATATATAAATAATATACTTATACTGCTATATATAGTATAATAATATACTTATACTATTATATATAGTATAATAATATACTTATACTACTATATATAGTATAATAATATACTTATACTACTATATATAGTATATAATAATATACTTATACTGCTATATATAGTATAATAATATACTTATACTGCTATATATAATATAATAATATCCTTATACTACTACATATAGTATAATAATATACTATACTATACTATGAATACTAATATTAATCATATAATCATATTTATCATAATCAATATCGATAGTGATATTATTTATTACATTTAGAAAGAATTTTCGATTATATTTTTCTCCTCGATTTTAAGAAAGCGTTCCACAAATAGTGTGAACTTACAGATCACGTAAACAATTATTGTCCGGTTCAATAAAAGAACGAATTCGCAAGATCGATTAATAATTTTCCTGGTTAACGAAATGTTTTCTTGCGATTGATGTTACGTAGACAGCAACGTGGTAGCCACTCGCGTCGATTGTTTCGACATGCTCGATCGATTCACCGTGAAGTCAGGGGTCAGGATTCATCGTGAGAGATGACCTGATTCGTTGATTTAATTTGTCGAAAGGATCAAAGCGCCGGCAGACAAACTGGCTGCCAGACGCTCGGAGGAACGTCATATCCGAGGGAGATTAAACCGTGGTCGAACTCTCGGTTAATCCTTGGTTTCGGATACAGCCGCATCGTTCTCTGTACCAACCCTCGCTTCGCGGAGCTTCCCTCTGTTCCTGATTTTCTATGGTAGTCAAGATCCTTCTCGGTTCGTCAAACGCGGCAGTTTCGAAAATTCGAGCGAGAAACGGGGATTTTCAACCTCTGTAATCTAGAGTTCTAGACAATCCGCCGGGAATTTCTATTCGCACCTGCGAAACCAACTTTCGAACTGCTGAAGAATGACAATCCGTCGAGATTTACGTACAAATATGTTGGAATTTGTAATTGTTTATTTGCTAATAATGCAATACAAATATAGTAATGATGATTAAAAAAGCACCTAGCGGATATGAAATGTACTTTATGCGAAGAAGAGTAACTGTATGTGAAGTCGCGGAGATACTGTCTGACTGATCGTCTTCTAGGCTGATGAACGCCTCTGTAGTTCTATGGGAAGTGTCTGGCACTGGAACGTGCGGTCCTTTTATACTGTTCCTTTAGGTAAATTCCAGGTAAATGAGAGTCCTAATGTATACGCCTTTCCCCGAGAAGCTCGGGCTTGTACCTGCAATTATGAAGCTCGGGCTTGTGCCTGTATTTATTGCCGCTATGTAGACATTTGTGTGTGAGTATCGTTGTATATACCAACAAAATAAAACGGAATTTGATGCGTCCGAAAAATACTATTTAATTTGGCTGAATTGAACAACTGCGTGTAAGCTGAGAAAGTGAATGTTTTATTTTGAAATTGGGATTACCGATTTGTTCTCCTTTTTTGGTTTATTACAACTTTGTTATTGCTACTATCGAAGGAGGGTGGGGCATCTTGATGGTTGTAAACAAACCAGAATCGACGCACGAGTGAGGCAACCGAGTAATCTAATAATACACTGCACGACGTTCGCCGAAAGCAGCTCTTGACGAGTTAAGCTCGTCGAAGTCTACGTATGAAACGAACGACGACCCCAACTCGTCATTGTATGTCAAAGGGTTAATCACTGAATTCTCGACGATCGAATAAAATAAGTTGCTGTTACATTAGTGACCACGGAAAGGCTAATAAGCAAGAAATATCGTGAGAAAGATGTTTCGAAAAATTGCTGAACAAAATTTAGAATCGTTATAAATATCGTCGATAGGTATAGTCGTCGAAATAGCCCGTCGTCCGTTGGTTAATGGCGAGCGAAAATAAATTCGTCGGTGGTCAAGCAACGTAACAATAATAATTCACAACGATCTTCATTATTCCATCAGCAAAATTCGAAAGTCGACCTCGATTTTGGGAAACTGCCCGGTTAAATATTCACCGGGAACAATCCGTGAAATACCCGGCGTCCCGTGCAGTCAGCCGGCAGAAATAATTAATATGAATCGCGCCGTTCACCGCGGTCAATTGTTTTCGACTCGTATCGTTCGCCGGGATCTCGAAGCGAGTGCCCGGACCCGTGGATAGAACGGTCTCTGGTTCCGATTCCAAACTGCCGGCAGCTGTCGCTGATATTGGATCAATTTACGATTCCGAAATCCGATGAAATCTTTTCCGTGATGAACTGCCCGGCCCGATTAATTAGCTCCTCAGACTGGAAATCG